AGAGAGAGAGAGATGGCTCAAAAAGAAGAACAAATCAGTGCCCCAGAACTCATCCTTTTGAGCGACTAAGAGATAGCTAACCTATCAGGTGCACAGTTCAAAACACTGGTGATCAGGAAGCTCACAGAATTGGTTGATCTTGGTCACAAATTAGATGAACAAATGCAGGTTACCATAAAAGAAATGAAGGAAAATGCACAGGGAACCAATAGTGATGGGAAGGAAACTGAGACTCAAAGCAATAGAGTGGACCAGAAGGAAGAAAGAAACAACCAAACAGGAAAGAATGGAGAAATAAGAATTAAAAAAAAAGAGGAGAAGCTTAGGAACCTCCAGGACATCTTCAAACGTTCCAACATCAAAATTATAGGGGTACCAGAAGGGGAAGAGGAAAAGCAACAGATTGAGCATGTATTTGAACAAATAATAAAGGGGAACTTCCCCATTCTGGCAAAGGAAATAGACTTCCAGGAAGTCCAGAAAGCTCAGAGAGTCCCAAAGAAGTTGGACCCAAGAAGAAACACACCAAGGCACATCATAATTACATTAGCCATGGTAAAAATGAAGGAGAGAATCCTAGAAGCAGCAAGAGATAAGGGGACAGTAACCTACAAAGGAGTTCCCATCAGAGTGTCAGCTGATTTCTCAAAAGAGATCTTACAGGCAAGAAGGGGCTCGAAAGAAGTATTCCAAGTCATGAAAGACAAGGACCTATATCCCAGATTACTCTATCCAGCAAAGCTTTCATTTAGAATGGAAGGGCAGATAAAGTGCTTCTCAGATAAGGTCAAGTTAAAGGAGTTCATCATCACCAAGCCCTTATTTTAGGAAATGTTAAAGGGACTTATCTAAGAAAAGAAGATAAAAAAAGAACATGTATAGTAAAAGGACAGCAAACTCACAATTATTAACAACCACACCTAAAGCAAAACCAAAAGAAACTAAGTAAACAACTAGAACAGGAACAGAACCATAAAAATGGAGATCACATGGAGGGTTAGCAACAGGGGAGTGGGAGGAGGAGAGAGGGGGAAAAGGTGCAGAGAATAAGTAGCACAGATTGTAGGTAGGAAATAGACAGGGGGTGCACAAGAATAGTATGAGAAATGTAGAAGCTGAAGAACTTATAAGTATGACACATGCACATGAACTAAAGGGGAGGGAAGTGAGTGGGAAAGGGTGTGCAGGATGGAGGGGAGTGAAGGGGGGAAATGGGATAACTGTAATAGCATAATCAATAAAATATATTTAAAAAACAAAGCAAAACAAAATAAGTTACATATACAAAAGATGAAATATTATTCAGTCTTAAAGGAAGAAAAGTCATATGTCATGCATGCCTTCATCAGCGAAGACAACATGTGTCACCAACCACCTTGAGGATATCATGGATAAGTAAAATAAGCTAGTCACAAAAAAGACAAATAGTATATGATTTCACTTACATGAGGTATCTATAAGCAGTCAAACTCAGAAACTGAAAGCAGAATGGTGGTTACTAGGGGATTGGTAATGGAGTAAATGGGAGTCACTGTTTAGAGGACATAAAGTTTCACTTTTACAAGATGAAAAAGTTCTAGAGATTGGTTATATGAAAATGTGAACATACTTAACACTAATGAATTCTACACTTGAAATGATTAAATGGTAAATTTTGTTTTGTGTATTTTATGGCAATTAAAAATAAATCAACTCTTTTTCCATATACTGAAAACAAACAATTGTGAATTTAAACATTTTTAAGAACTTACATCTATATTACATTTACATTACATGTATAACAGCATCAAACATATGAAATAGGTAATAATCTGACAACTGTTGTGAAAGAACTATACACTGAAAACTACAAAACACAGCTGAGAGAAATTAAAGAAAATCTAAAAAAAATGGAGAGCTACCTCATTCATGAATGAGAACACTCAATATTGTTTTCAATTTTCCCCAAAACAATGTTCAGGGTTAACACAATCCCAATGAAAATGCCAGCAGGCTTTTAATTTTTTGTAGAAATTCATAAACTGATTCTATAATTCTAAAATGCAGAGAAACCAGAAAAGCCACAACAACTTTAAAAGAAGACAAGGTCGTAGAACTAACTCTGTTTCAAGTCTTATTATAAACTTCCGGTAACAGACACTGCATGGTATTGATGTAAAGATGAAACAGAATCCAAAATAGACTGACACATATATGGACAGCTAAATTGTGAAAAAGTTACAAAGGCAATAGAGTGAATAAAAAAAGTCTTTTCAATAAATGATGCAACAGCTTGTTATATATATGCAGAAAAAGAATTTCCATCCATGTGTTGCATATTAAAAAAAAATTCACACCTCCCTTTTTCTGAAGGCAATAATTCCTTGGAGTAAATACTTGATTCCTTTCTATTATCCAGGTCAATACATATCTTTGCCAAAATCTTTTTCAGGTCAACACATCTCTTTGCCAAACAAGGTAGAAAAAAGTTGTCAGCCAATTCTTTATATATAGGCACTGTTTCCATAGAGTATTAGTAGCATCTAAGAATCTGAAGTCATGAAATGAAGCTATAAGAAAATTCCAACACATTAAAATAAGATTAAGTCCTGAAGTCCTGGGAGCTGTAGAAAATAGCACCTGAAACTGATATTAAACAGAAAATGCAAGCAGCAAATATGAATAATTTGGAGGTCCTGGCATATGACATGAACATACAGAATTAAAGACATTCACTGCTTTCACAGCCACCATACATTCCAAAAAGACCAGTGACTGGACTCTGCCACCTGTCTATGCTAGTTATTTCACAAGTATAGCAAGCACCAAGAAAATTCATTTTCAGTATTCACTGCAGTTTATCAATACTGACTTTATATACCATTAGAGATGAGAAAAGAATGGACAGGAAATCTACTTGTGCCCAAATTAGCATCAGGATTCACAGAAGGAATTCCAGAATAAATTGTCTGGGTTTCTTTAAGTAAACATTCCTCAAAAGTTCCTGTTCTAAGCACACAATTAACAATTTTCATTTTTAGGGTGGGTTCTAGTTCCTGTAAATTAGTAAATAAGAGAGGACTGAATACTTTTATTAGTCAGGGAATCCCCATACGTTCTGACCAATCGTTCATGCCAAAAATATTGAGAAATAAGAAAAATAACAGCTAATGTTTATTGAGGACTTACTAGATTCTGGGTTGCAGTAATCTTCACAATCCTCTGAGGTAAACATTATTATTAATTCAGAGAGGTTAAGTAACTTGCCCAAAATTACACAGTTAATAAATGGTGGGGACTGGGATTCCAAGCATACTCATTTAATCGCCATACTATAATGCTTCAACCTGCCAGGTTATTTTTATATTCCGTAAGCCAAGGGGAGACAATGAAAAAAATCAAGGAGAGCAGGAACAATCATATTTACATGTTAGATTACACCAATATTGCAATACATACTGTTGAAGGCAGACTGATGGTGACATAAACAATAGTCTCAAGAGACGGTCAAAATCTAGGTCAAAAATGCTAAGGAACTGAACCACAGGAATGCAGAGAAGGATAAAACCTAAAATCTTTACCTGGTAAACTTAGCTAGACTTAATAATGTATTTGAATGTTGTAGGCAGTATGCAAAGTAATGAAGGATACTACCTCTTAAGCTACTATTTTGGTCACTGATCTGTAATTATTGTGTATCAATTAAAAAAAAAAACAAAAAAAAAACGGAAGGAAGACCTGGCAGTTTGGTTTTTGTTTAGGGGGCAGGAAGATGGCCAGTCTACTTTTCACATAATCAGGAACAAAATGAGAAAAACCAATTATATAGCATTTCCTCCCCTACCAGGACAAATGTTCCACATTCTAGGAATATTATCTTTGAAATGAAGATTCCACCCGCCCCCCTCCCCCATGCTTTTTCAATAAGAAGTCACTTTGGCAGGGAGGGGCCTTCAACATTACCAAGGCTTCTGTTTACAGATTAGGCTTTGAGTGGCAAGGCTGTGTCAGCACCCTGCCTGGTGTACACTCGTTCTCGCAGAACTAGGACTAGAAGCCAGCTCTGCTGCCTCCATTCTACTTAGGACTCTTCCCACTTCACCTGTCCTCTCAGTTCTACTAATGGGGACTCACGTGACCAAATATAATCATTTAGCATTCTTTAAAAGCAAATTTGGGAAGGTAAACTAAGAATCTGAAGCCGATAATCTTATGTTTAATATTTTTCTTTGATAAAACGTTTGTTTCCTTGGTGTTAAAGAGTTTCTGTTTATGGTAATATTTCTATATTCCCTGTTCTAAATAAACGAAAGAAAAGAAAAAGAAAATGTCTTTAAGAAACGACAGACTCTGTATCCGTAGTGTTCCACCATGGGAAACCATAGTGCCACTGACAAAACCTGTTCTGCTGAATCCAGGCCAATTATATCAGGGCTTCAGATGCCATATGAACCTCATTTTAACTGGAAAAAGAGACAGACCTGAACATGTTCCTCTGTCAGGCCCTGGGATCCTCAGCTTCATCTGAAATCCTGTTCCCCAAATTTTCCTGCAATTGCTTAGAAATCATGGAGCAGAAAGGGGCTGCCAGATTCCAATGCCAACTTCCCCTGGAGGGCCGAATGACAGTTCTAAAGGTTTCCCACACATCCGCTAAGCAGACTGGCCAGAAATTGTACCACAAAAAGGGTATCGACTATCTCATAAATGGAAAACTTAGGAAGAACCAATTTATTTACATTCACGGTCCCGTCTGGTACTTTTTGAAACAATAATCAAAACATAGTTTTGTCTAGCAACGAGCAGCGCTAGAAGTGCCTCGGGATGAATTACACAGGTTCACCCGGAACCGGCTTTCCAGGAGCCCAAGCTCCTGGCCCAGCCCCGGCGCCGTCGCGCTCCTGCCTAACATCCGTGCCCCGCACCCAAGAGACTCTGGATTTTGACCGCGACCTGGCCCAACCTCCCGTCCCCTGACTCGCGTCCTCGATCTGAGCCACGCAGCGGAACCCCAAGCTCACCCAGCTGCCGCCTGCGGCCTGCGCACTCGCGCGCTTCTCAGACATGGTTGCGGCCTCGGGTTCCGCTGCCGCCTTCTCCTGCCGCTCCAAGCTCAGGCTACAGCCATGCCTTAGACTGCTCCGGGCGCTCCCGCTGTACTGCGAGGACGCAAAAGCGGCGGGGGAGCCCGCGCCTTCATGGGCTCCGTGCCCAGCGGCCTGCGGGTCTGGAGGCGGAGGCTGGAAGCGGGGAGGACCGGAGGGAGAGAAGAGTGGCTCCAAACCACCGCCACCAGAGATAGCAGGCCGCCTCCTCCTAGCTCCCGCCACAAGGTTCCTGCGCCCCGCCCCCCTGAAACCCCGCCTTTACGGCTGCCTTGCGCAGAAAATACGTGGTTGCCCGGGGCCCTACCCTTACTTTCTTTTTCCTGAGGGGACCGATTGGCGCGAACTCGGAGTATTGTGCGGGGTTTTGGTAGTGATAGCACTTCTAGCCTTGGTTTACCCCATACCGCCCAATACATGATGTCTCCCTGAAGTATATAGGTGGCACTTTCTGACTGGGAAAGAAAGCTGCCCCCAGTCCCTACCCCCTACCCCTGATCTGGAAGCCTCCACTGGGTAAGTACCAACGGACTATAACTACGAAATTCTGTTCCTCCCCCAAATCCAAAGAGTAACTGAAGAAGAGTTTACCTGAGCTGTGGGATATGTAGTGGGAAGGGCAGCTCTAGGAAACATACAGGACCCACAGGTGCATACACGATCACAGTGAATGTGAGCTGATTACTCAGTCCACAACCCTCATCGGTAAAATGGGGACAGGAGCATACTTTAAGGTGATGAAATCAGCTAACAACACTAATCCTGGTTCCAAGAGAATTGTTATAATTACTGCCTGGAAGGGACCTTGTGAGATACCACAGCCTATTTTGCAGATGCCAACCCAAGCTTCTAAAAGAAAGGGACTTGGCTAGGGCAGCGATTTTCAACTGGTGGTGTGCCAGAAGAATTTTTAAAACTATTTAGTCAGGGACACTGACCTCTTTAAACTTAGATTGTCAAATAGAAAAAATGGCAACAGCCAATACAACAATAGGCATCTGGTGTGAATGAATCAAAATTACACCTATTTTTTGGGTCGGATTGGAAAACATATTTTTTTGGTGAGCTGCAGAGTTTTAGTGATTAGTTTATGCATGCCATAAAATGAAAAATTTGAAATCACCAGACTAGGGTAATAGGGCCTGCTCCACAAATTTGGAGTACAAATATAATCAGAGTTTTTTTCCTATTAGGTTTTTGAACTGTGGACACAAAAGGGGTCACATACTAAATCTGACAAGCTCAGGAGAGGCTGGCATGGTGGGCCTTACAAATTTAGAGACCCAAAGTAGCCACATAAGATGATCTGAAATTAAAACTTCTTAAATCTTTACCAGAAATGTCTCTATGGCCACATAACTCCTTTGTTCTTTATTGCTTTTCTATAATTCCATGTTAAACTACCCCTGCTCTGGAATGCATCCACTTCTGCCTTCTTGGGGGCCTTGCTTCACTCATTTTCCTTTCTCCTATAACCTTAAACTATTTTTTTCTCCATTGGCTCTTACCACATAACATATAAATATACTTAAATTTTCCATCTTAAAAAAAAAATTCCTAACAGTGTCTCTCCCTTTAACTAGTACCACATCTCTTTTCTCAGCCAAGTAGTTGGGAAGAGAAGCCCTCACTTTTGGACTTCACTTTCTGCTCTCCTATTTCTACTCACTGCCTGCCTTCCTGCTGGCACACATTCCCAATCATCTAGTTGCCATAAAAAATGGCATTTGTGGCTTTCCTGCCGTCTCAACATTTGACTCTATGTGTAAGATGCCTACTGGCCAGGCACTGGGGTAAGCACTGCTGTAAGAGAAACAAAAGGCAAATGTGATCCCCAACCTCATAAGACTCAGCTGATCAGTCATTTCTGGTATATTCACGTGTCTTGGCTTCCACTGCTCACCTTAGCAGACTTCACTGAAATGTCACTTGAATCTCCCTATTCTCCAAGTTTTCTTTTTTCTTATTATACATATCTACTCAAAGCAACACTTCTATACCCATGGCTTTGCTTTTTATATACTCTAAGAACAATACAATTTTAAATGTTTTTACTTGTTTTATTTTACATAGGATGCCTCATTTGGTAAAACCATAGCTTCCAAGTTACTCCATGAAAGCGATTACACAAAAATGTGATATTCTTAGCATGTTAGTTTTAAGAAGTTTCCCTAGTTACTTTTTCTGGTTTGATCTAATGTGTGCTATTTTTGAAAATGTAAGTTTGGATATCACAAAATGAACATAGCAAAAATGGTTCATATCCAGCTTTCAACCAGAGAGCTTCATTTTGGTTCATTTAACAGAGCCAAAAATTATTTTCCTCTGCAAACCTATTTCTATTCCTGCATTCTCTAAGAGAAAGTCCCAGCTATTTTACCCAGTTCCCCAAGCCAGAAATCTAGCAGAAATTTTTGCCTCACCTCTTCACTTCTCTCTCCACATCTAGTCACCAAGTAATTCTATTCTACTTCCCAGATGACCTCAACTCCTTTCCTTTATTCCAGTCACTGTCACTACCTTTAGTTTGAACCCTCATTTCTCCCCTAGATGAATATAAAGTGTCTTAATTGGCCTTGTTGTGACCAGGGAGGTTGTAGCAGAGGTCCCTGGAAAACAGGAGAGAACCCAGGTTCAGGGGAACCCCACCCCCAAGCAAAAGGGAGGGGTTGGGGGGAGCCTGCCCAGGCAGTAGATTAAAAATATCTTGATTTCTCCAAGGCAGACAAATGCTGATGGAGTGGAAGGTACAGTGTTTAAAGGACATTTCATAACAAAGACAGATTAATGCAGCCTTGCCTTCTGTAAGGGAGGGGCTAAGGAAGGAGGCTGCTGCCAGAGGCAAACTGTAAACAAAGACAAATTAGCTGTGCCAACCTGCACCAGCAGGAGCTTGGTGCTGGGGTGGGCTCAGATGCCCCACCCTAGATGAACAGATGCCTATGGGCCTATGTGTGACTGGGGAACTTTTGACCTGCTAAAAATGGCACCTGAAAGAGGGTTAAAGACACTGGGGAGCTGACAAAAACGTCAGACATTGACGTACCACAGGAAAAGCTGGACACTCCCACTAGCTTCCTGCACACGTTGGATTTCGGGAGGGCCTTTTGAAAGAAGAGGCACAAACTGGCTCTCTTTGCTCTCTCTTGCTCTCGATTCATTGCTTCGTCCAGAGAAGTTGCTTTCTTGGTATGGGACTTTGGAACTTGGTTCAAGTTCACTCTCTGAGCTTTTGACATTCTAGATGTATTAAGCCTCTGGGCCTTTGGCCCTGCTCACTGAACGGGAAGATGCCAGGCCCTACCAGGGGGTTAGACCCTGCCTGGATGGAAGCCCACTCCTGGTGTTACAGAACACACAAGGCCAAGGCAGGTTTGATAGACTATTACCGAAAGGACCCCCCCCACTAAGTTCAATTGCTGCCTTAGGAAAGATGTCTCTCAATGCCAGAGATTTGTGAAAAGGAAAGGAAATGTTTATTTAATGCTATGCAGACTCAAAGTAGTGACCTAATGTCTTCATTAAAATATCAAAGTCCTTTTGGATACCCACAGATGCCCACTGTGCTTTCTTCTCCCCCCTGCATTAATTTGGGGTACCGTATCCCAGGAAAAGAAGCAAACGTCCATGTTTTAGGCTGCCAGCACCATCAGCTGTGTTGCCGTCCAGACAGGATCTCTAATTAATCCAAAGCCATGTGGCACCTTCTCATGGCCTACTGGCAAGCTTTCTTTCACCCTTCTTCCAGGCAAAGTCTCTCCTGCTTCCCAGGCTGCGCGGCCCAAGTGAGCACCCCAAAGCCACGTGGTCCTCTTCTACCAGAGCACAGTGGTCCCCACTCTGACCAAAACTGCATGGTTCTTCTCTCCACTAAAGCTGCAAGGGTCTGCACTCTGGCAAAGCTGGGTGGATCTCCCCCCAAAGCTGCGGGGATGGGGGTCGCCACTCTGCCAGAAGCCAGTGGCAATCCTCTTCTAAAGCCTCATGGTGGTTCCCCCTACTAAAGCTGCGGGGATCCCCACTCTGGCGAAACCAGATGGCTGGTGAGAGATGCGTGGCTCTCTCACATGGTTACAGGGGTCCCCACTCTGCTAGAAGCTCGTGGCTCTCTCTCTCTCACGTAGCCTCAGGGGTGCCCACTCTGGCAAAACCGCGTGGCTCTCCCTGCACTGCCACAGCCTCATGGTCCTCTCCTCTACTGCCACAGCTGCATGGTCCCTTTCTCTCTCTGCACTGCCACAGCCGCCTGGTCCTCTCTCACATGGCTGCTGTGTCTGGGTTTAAATCCCCACACCAATCTTCCTCTGCAGCCCCATTTCCGACTCCTCCCACAGCTGGCTACACTTGCCAGCACTCGAATATCCTTCCAGCTTTACTGGGCTGCCATAGTGGGTCTGGGTAGGCATGGCCCCATGGTGTGGAACCAATCTCCTCCAAGCTCCCATGCAGGCACTGTAACTCGGGAACCTGCCTCCCAGTTATATATTGCGGGGTAAGTTCCTTCCGTTCTCCTGGCTCAGAGCATGGCCACAGCTATTTAACATAGCTAAGTGACCAGCCAAAGGCTATAGATATGTTAAATGACCATGCCATGGATTAGCTGCAAAGCTGTTGCTGTACAAAACAGCTCTGCATGCTCCTGCTCCATGTGTCCCTTCCCCCAACTGACACTTGTTGAGGGGGAAGGGGTGAGGACATCTTATATGTCTTTCTAATATTTCCTAGACACCTTGAGTTCTGGACTCCATTCCAAATCCCTATTTGGGGCCCCTGTCTTGACTGCACACTGTTTCACTGGAGGCAGGGTAACCACACTGAGACATGTGCTTCCCTGGGCCCCAGCCTCTAAGACACTATGATCCATTGCAGCACAGCACATGGATCCTGGACTGCTACATGGAGACTGAGATCAGCACATCTCAGATTCTAAAAGAGAGAGCTGCTGCAAGAGGATGGCAACTGTGAAACCTGACAGACCTAGGTAGGCCTAGGACAAATGGAATCACCAAGCGGGAAACTGCCTGCCAACCCCCCAGGACAAACAGATGCTCGGCTAAGATTGGGGTCCGGGGTTGGCCTGTCGGCACAACAGGATGCAGCTTTAACTTGAGCCTGACAAGATGTATCAAGAACAATGGTCAGCAAAAATGGAACCCAGCAACCAGCTCTAGCCAATCAGACTCTGACACCCCAACCAGTTGCCCTTCATGGGTTTTTGTGCTTAAAAACCCTACCCTAAAAACAACTGAGTGAGTCTTAACCTCCCTAGGTTGGCTGCACTTTCTCCACTTTCCCTCACGTCCCAGCCTCCCTAGGTTGGCTCCACTGTCCCTCTTATTCCCCGCTAATAAGCCCTGCTCCTTAGCTCACTGAGTCCACCTGGTTTCTTGAGCAACTCCAACCTCACAAAACCTGCAAGTGCACATGCCAGAGAGATTGGAGATCTGTTTGTGTGACCACCTTAAGAGCAGGTAAGGAAATGGGGAACTTCTGGGCATGGTTTTGGCTTGTGGTCTTTTGGGGAGTAAGACAAGTTCTGAGTCTTGTGGGAGAGAAGAACTCTGAGCAGGAGTGCCCTAACTCCTCCCCTAAAGTTGGAATCCTGCTAATAAAAACTTGTTTCCTTCAACACAAATCACTAGGTCATATATAAAAGAGCAAAAAGCTGCCAAATCTCAGTGTGCAAGGTTACATTTTTGCTTCTTTTAATCTCCCTTATTGTCCTGAGTGAAGTCTTTATTAACCATCTGACATGACTCCTCAACTTCACATCATTCAATTGCTCTGTTTTCATGATAAAATTCAAACTCCTTACCCCAGCATCTACTTTGGGGTCAGATAGATCTATATTTGACTCCCAGGATTTAGTATGTTCCAACAATGTGACCTCAGACAATTGGACTATCTAAAACTTTGTTTTCTCATTTGCCCAGACTCATTGAGGGCAGGAGTGTTTCATACATACATATAGTGCTTGGCACATAGGGGAGACTTGATGTTGAATGAAGAAAAATATATTAAAAATCCAGGTCAAAAACTGTTTTTCCTTTAAAAAAAAATCTTAAGAACCATGTCACTATTTTCCATGTTTTACTTCTACTTTTATTTTCTGATAATCATGACCAAGTGCCTGACCTGAACCCTGAACAAAACAATTATGTGAGCTTGGAGTGTTACTTTACTTTTGCTTCTCAATTTCTTCTGTAAAATCTATAAAATGAAAATTATTTTGGATGATTAATACCTCACTTGAAATGTGATTGGGTGCTTGCCAAATGTTAACTATCAGTATTATTATCTTTAGCAAATCATTGAAACCCTAGGACAGCCAAGTCCAGAGTGCTTGCTGCCTGTCACTGCTGAGCCAAAAAGCAGAGACAGGGATTGGATTATAACTGTGTTTTTATTAATATCAGACAAAAAGGTGGGTTGAAACCCTAACATTCACCTTACCTTGAGCTTTCAGAAGCAAGTTTATCTATAGGGAAACTTAGGAATTTGGGAGGTGGAAATTCCTAGAAGGAGCACAGATGTGCTGTTTCTCCTGGGAGCCAGAGCTGAAAGGGAAGTCTTGTAGCTTCCTCCCAAGCTGGATTCTTTGTTCTGGTGTTCTCTCTCCTTTTGCATTAGAATTCCTCTTCCTCTCTTCTCCAGAGGCCTGTGGTTTATGGCCAGGGTCATTATATATTCTCTCCAAAGGTCTTCCACTCAGCTATTTGGCTTTGTTTAATTTTATTGTCTCAGTTTCCCCATTCCATTTGCCCAGAAATTTTCCTAGCTTCTTATTATCTTATTTTGTCAGGAATGAGATACCCTCAATTTGTGGTTCTCAATATATGTGAGAAAAAAAATCATTCTCTAAGCATTGTTGTTGGTGGGAAAAAAAAAAAAGAAATTTGGCAACTCCTGCTTTGGAAGAGAGAAACAGACAAGAAAAGCAAATTAGTGAATTGTTGCTTTACAAAAGCCACCCCAGAAATTTTGCAGTGGAGAGCAGCCAGGCCTTCCCAGCAGGTCTTGACACCATGGACAGCCTTTCAATTAAGGTCAAGGATGATGGCTTGACAAGAGTTTGAGTGTAAATGATCTCTGTGTTGTTATTTTCAACAGAAGAAGTCAAATTGGGCTCTTGAGCTAAAAAAAATGTACCACATCCACATTTTTAAATTTAATCTTCCATTTCTGAATGTGTCCAAACAAAATTTGTGCTACCAAAACTTACAACTTCATAATAGTGTCTTGTTTGAAAGCCATACACAGCAATACATATTGCAAAATAGAAGACCCTGTGGGTGGTGGGGGGTGGGAATGAAGGAGAACCTGGTGTTTAATTTCCTGTTACCTGGCATCTTCTCAGTAAAAAACCTTACACCGTTGTTACTTAGCTTTCGCAAGTGCTTCCTGGTTTTTATTCTGAGAACTTCACCTAGTAGCTAGGGTTTAGGAAGTCACTGACGAAAAATCACACTTTTAAATGTAATGCTACAAACTGATTTCCTTACGTTTTGAGAAAAAATATGTTTTATTTTTCTCTGAATTGACCAAAATCCTAAATGATCTATTTTGTTGGAGAGGATGGGTACTGCTATTGGTGTCATTTTTGATACTTCTGTAATTGTTGGAGTCCCTTCTTCTCCTTTGGCTGGGTTGTGTGGGAAGAGAGAAAGAAGAGAGATGGAGGAAGGAAGCTGAGGAGAAACCTTATATTTGTATAGAACCTCCATGATGGCCAGAGTCAGAGTAGAAGGTGCTTTTGTATTCAGTGTAAGCTGGTATTTACAGGTGACTTTGACAATACTGGACATGTGCTCAGTGGTTTCTGAGCTAATTTTTTGTTATGTTTATATGAAGAAATATTTATGCTACTTCACCAAGTATATATTTAATGTTGATAAATATTACTCTTCAGTTTTCAGCTGTGGTGCACTGAACCTGATTCTTCAAGATCTGCTAGACCAATGATAAGGTCAAGTTTTCATGTGTCTAAGAAGAAAAATGTTATTCAGCTGGGGTCAGCAAGTACCTAACTTTTTCTAGATAGTAAAAACTCAACTGTAACATAAATGTTTAAAACCACTGTTTAGTTCAGCTTTGATGGGGACAGAACAAATCATTCTCCACCAGGGTGTTTGAAATCACATGACAAGGGATAAAAGCAAATCAGCATAATTGAAAGATTTTTTTTGCCCCACATTTAACCAAAGAACAAGGGAAAAACAGAGTATTTCTAATGTGTTTAGTAAACCACAGAATGTTATGTTATCCACCTGTGAAATGTCTGGTAAACAATTGCATCTATATTTTATTATGTTGACCTGGTACTAATAAATATGTGAATGCATATTCAGGTCTCCTTGTACTTCAGTAATTTTCATCATTTTCAAACTCCAAAACTGCCTTCCCATCAGAGGGCTGTTTCTTGTATTAAAAACAAGAACAACAATTACAATTAAATCAAGAAATGGAGAAGCCCTGAGTTTTTGAAAAACTGAAAGATAATAAAAAGTATTTTTTTTAAAAATATATTTTATTGATTATGTTATTATGGTTGTCTCATTTTCCCACCTTCACTCCCCTCCACCCTCCCTCATCCCTCCCTCCTCCCACATCCCCCCATTTAGTTCATATCCATGTGCCATACTTACAAGTTCTTTAGCTTCTACATTTCCCAACTATTCTTACCCTCCCCCTGTCTATTTTCTACCTACCATGTATGCTACTTATTCTCTGTACCTTTCCCCCTTCTCTACTCCTCCCACTTCCCTGTTGCTAATCCTCAATGTGATCTCCATTTCTGTGGTTCTGTTCCTGTTCTAGTTGTTTGCTTATGTTTTTGCTTTAGGTGTGTGGTTGTTAATTGTGAGTTTGCTGTCATTTTTACTATACATGTTTTTTATCATCTTTTTCTTAGATAAGTCCCTGTAACATTCCATATAATAAGGGCTTGGTGATCATGAATGCCTTTAACTTGACCTTATCTGAGAAACCCTTCCATTCTAAATGAAAGCTTTGCTGGATAGAGCAATCTTGGATGTAGGTACTTGCCTTTCATGACTTGGAATACTTCTTTCCAGCTCCTTCTTGTCTGTAAGGTCTCTTTAGGAAAATCAGCTGACAGTCTTATGGGAACTCCTTTGTAGGTAACTGTCTCCTCTTCTCTTGCTGCTTTTAAGAGTCTCTCCTTATCTTTCATCTTGGGCAATGTAATTATGATGTGCCTTGGTGTGTTCCTTCTTGGGTCTAACTTCTTTGGGACTCTCTGAGCTTCATGGACTTCCTGGAAGTCTATTTCCATTGCCAGATTGGGGAAGTTCTCCTTTATTATTTGTTTAAATAACTTTCCACTTGTTGCTCTCCCTCTTCTCCTTCTGGTACCCTTATAATTCAGATGTTGGAATGTTTACAGATATCCTGGAGGTTCCCAAGCCTGTCCTCATTTTTTTTTTTGAATTCTTGTTTCTCATTCTGTTCTGGTTGGATGTTTGTCTTCCTGCTGGTCCACTCCATTGATTGGAGTCCCAGCTTTCATTCCATCACTATTGGTTCCCTGTGCATTTTCCTTCATTTCACTTAGTGTAGCCTTTATTTTTTCATCTAATTTGTGAGCATCCTGATTACCAGTGTTTTGAATTGTGCATCTGAGATGGTTGACTATCTCTTCGTCACTTAGTTGTATTTGTTCTGGCGCTTTGATCTGTTCCTTCATTTGGGCCACTTTTTTTGTCTCAGTGCTCCTGATACGTAGTGAGGGGCAGAGCCTTAGGTGTTCATCAGGGTAGGGCAAACCAGTAGCTGGGTTGTGACTCTGTATGTGGGAAAGGGGTGGAGAGGAAACAATGGTACTTGCTCTGCTCTCTGCCAGATTTCAGTCACTTCCCCCGCTTCCACAATCAAATTGGACCCTTCTGGTGCTGATTCCTGGGTGGGGGGGTGGGGAGGGTTGTGTACATTCTAGGACCCTATGGGTCTCTCCAACGAACTCTTCTGTGAGGCTGGGAGTTTGTCCCAGCACCTCAACCCGTAAGGTGTTTTCAGTTGGTGGTTTGAGGCTTTATTTCCCTGCTCTGGGACCCTGGGCTTTGAGGCTTTATTTCCCTGCTCCCCAGTTTCACCTGGTTTATCTGCATGCAAATGTGGGACCACCCAGTCCGCCAGCCGCCTTGTGTGCTGCACCCTTCCACAATCTGCAACCTCGCTAGGTCCACTAGCTGCCACCTTGTGGGCCTGGGGTCGACCAGCCACCGCTTTGCCGCGGCCCTTCTCCGCCTGGCTGCCCGACTTCTCACCTCCTACCAGTCTGGACGAATATGTCTACTTTAACTCCTTGGTTGTCAGACTTCCATACAGTTCAATTTTCTGTTGGTACTGGTTGTTTTTTGTTTCTAAATTGTTGTTTTCCTTATTTTGGTTGTTCAAGGAGACACAATGTGTCTACCTATGCCTCCATCTTGGCCGGAAGTACCCTTTTTGGACAATAAAAATTCTTAAGCATGATTATCTCCTGACCCTTGTCCTGTTAATGAGGATGACAGTGGCAGAGAAGAAACAATTCCAAGACTCTAGTTCTCCTTTTCTGTTACTGGTTTAATCAAAGAATTGTTTTCACATCTCTTATAGAGTCGCTTTAAAATATACTCCCGACTGTGGTTGTAGAAAGCTATGTCCAGCTTTTAGATCATTTACAAAGAAGAAAAATAAGAAGAAAGCACATCATTTTGAATATGGACAATTAAATCAAAGATGTAGTAAGTGTTTGTAACTGCACATAGTTGTACCTAGATTTCTCAAAGGGCTGTCACTAGAGAAGGTCTTCAGCATCTACAAAAGATTAAAATGTCTTTATCCCCAAATAGAAAAATCATGCCATTTTATTCCATATGAATCACGTTTGAAGAGTTTTGTGATTATTTACTTTATTTAAAAGAGCAAAATAATAAAACCTAAAATAAACTACACATGAACACCCCCTCAACACACACAAACACACACATCCATTCTCCCATTCTCCATGCATTGTCAGATGAACTAGAGAAGTGAGCTTTCCTGGCCTTTTCATTGCCTTTTCTCTTCTTTAAATCATATATCAGTAATTTCTCTGCTAGTTCTGCATATGATCCTGAATCACCCTTGCTTTAAATTCTGCTTTGACTCTCTAATTATGTTCCATTTTTGTTCATTCTTTTTTGTGTATAATAGTTCTGGTTCTGATAGAAAGGAACCAGATATAAGCATTACAAGCTGCACCGGATAAGATCTAGAAGGCAGACCCCTTTTTCTGTCAACATTCCTGTGTTGCACGTGGGCGAGTTCATTGCTCTGGAAGAGTGAGAACCTTTTGTGTACAGATTGTGAGAAGGGGGAAGGCAGAGCTCTGATGGAACAGGGGCTGTATCAGGATGGAAGAAGGAAGCCAAGGCTCAGGCCCAGAGAGAAGCCTGAAATAGACAATACTGTGACAGAGAAGGAGCCTGGCGATCATCGTGGGTGTGATGTGGAGCCCGGCTCGTGGGGTATGCAACATAGTGGATGGGGGAGAGACATTCACACAGACTACCAAGTCCTGTGGAGGAAAAGGGCAGGCAGCTTCGCTCTCAAGAGGAGCCAAAAGCTGTGGCCTCTGCCATGACAGGCCTTTATTTCTTTTTTGGGGCACATTACATGATGGACCTCATTTACTATGCACAGGTTGGCTTTAGGTGGTTACCTTGTACGGAAAACAAAGGATCTGATGCCGTTAATCACATCACAGAAGAAGGATATTTGCAAATGAAAAGGGAAAAGTAGTTGAACCCATTACACTCATCCTTGGAAGATTTAGCATGGATTTTGGGAAGTTACTTTGCAGTAAATGTTTGCTACAAATCAGGGTGAGGGAGTTTTTTAGCAAAAGCAAGACTCAAAGAGGCCTAGGCACATTGTAGGCCTGATTCCCCATGGGAGAACCTATCCGTGGGCGTGGGTCCTGTGCATCTCTGAGTGGGAGCTGGTCCTATGCCACACAGAACAGTCTCCTACACAGGTATCCTGCACTTACATGAGTACAGATGATTCTCAGATGGAAACATAACACAGAAAAATTGGATAGTACAATTGGATAGATCAACATCAGAGAACAGTATCACAAAGAATAACTGATCTTAGAATACAAAGCCCTGTATTCTTAGCCTAGTTCTGACACCTATAGTTGTATGTCCTCTGTCATACATGTCATTTGCTTTTAAACTCTTGGGGTTGTCTCCTTAAGCTCAAATTAAGCAACAATATTAAAGCATCGCTAATTTACTCTCTGGTAGTAAACAGACAAACATTGAGTTACGATGTTAGTAATTACAGTGATAAATGTAAAAACTTGAAATTTTCTGGTTGTATGCAGTCATGTGTCACTTAACAATGAGTTGCATTATAGGAAGTATGTCAGTAGGTGATTTTATTATTATGTGAACATCACAAATTGCACTTCAACTCACCTACTGCACCCCTGGGCATTATGGAGCTTATTGCTCCTAGGCCATAAGCCTGTACAGCATGTTACTGTACTTACAACTGTAGGCGATTATAGCAGAATGATTAGTTTTAGTTTATCTAAATATATCTAAATATAGAAAAGGTACATTCAATAACATTGGGATGTCAATTGTGCACTCAGAATTGAGGTGCTGTGAGAATAAATCTGTTGCCAAACCCCACAAACACTGCTCCTGTCAGAGGAAAAAAATTCCCTAGGAACCACAAATGTTTCCATTTATCGCAGGAACTTCAACATCATTATAATTTTATGGAACAATCATTGTAAATGCAGTCCGTTGTTCACATTGGTATGTGGTGTGTAACTCTATATCGATTGGAGTCATTTACTTAATATTTCAGTACAAAAAAATCTAAAGAGCTCTCATATTTTGTTAGTAAACCTGGAATTTCACTGCTTAAATTACCACTTCAGTCTGGGGCCATCTGTGGGCTAACAACCTAACAAATGGAGTCATTGGGTAGTAGTTGGTGTTTGTTTTGGTTTTACAATCTTTCTCACAATGGATCTGAAACTGTAGAATGCAGCACCAAAGCAGTTATCCTTTTTCAACCTAACAACTCATTTTCTGTCACCTCCTATGATACCATTTTTCTCAACTGTAGTGTGCAACAAATATGGTTTGGTCAATAGTGTAAGCTTCAGTCTATAATAGATTCAGGGGTAATTTTACCAATTCCCTTCACTGATTTAAGCCATACTTTATCCCGCTGTATTTTCCTTACAATTTTGTAGTTATTGAGCCTCTTCCATAATTAATGCTGTGTAAGTAAATACTTTAAACCTCAGAGACTGGTTTCAGGGACAAGACTCTTTATGTTCCTCAGAATTGGAGAATTTTCATTTTCTTTTTCTGGCTTTACTGTTACTGCCTGAGAAAGGAGACTTATGTTGAGGTAATAAAAATGAATAAATAAGATCAAAGTGAGTAAGATCAATTCAC